AAATCCATTGCTGTCGAGTCTATTCCAACTCATAGTGACCCCATAGGACAGAGTAGAACTGTCCCATAGAGTTTCCAAGGAGCAGCTGGTGGATTTCAGCTGCTGACCTTTTGATTAGCAGCTGAGCTCTTAACCTCAGCACCACCAGGGCTCTGTACTCTCCATATAAAGGACTAAGTGAGCATAGACATGGACTGCTTTAAAGGAGCCTGCTTGGTAAATCAGGGAAGACATCCTTGAGTAGAGATTAGTTTTTAAACTCTCCCTTACATTTTTAAAAAGTATATTCAAATGTCTATTTGAATAAATTTATTTGATAATTGTCTCATAAGATGATTTTTGTGACCACATGTTTTTTTCTTGAATGTCAGAATGTTACTTCTCTTAACATGAGTAAATGATGTTTTCACTATTAAACAGAATTCATTTGAATCAAAGCAAAGTGAACACTTTCTATTGATAGATATATATAGTAGGTGCTCAGCTGTTTGGATTTTTTTTTTTTTTTTTGGTTTTAACATCTCAGTGACAGACCAGGTTAATGAGATCTAGTGTCAGTGTTTGCAGTAATGTTTTTAAGTTTGATTTCACGTTAACTTCTTTTCATCCGTACGGCAAACATCCAGGAAGGAAGGTGATAGGAATTGTTGAGCTGTATGTTTAAGGGTGAAAATACTAGAAAACTTTGTGTCTTCTCCTTGGGAAAATTTTCATAGAAAAATCCCAGGATGTGGGAGAGTTTTTGTGTGTGTGTGTGTGTGTGTGTGTTTGCTTGTTTTTTAAATCTTTCTAGTGATCTATAGTATGTAAATTGATTTAAGTTTTAATCTGTCATAGAGAAAAGCACTAACATTTTATAGACAAACGGCATATACTCAAATATTTATAGCTGTTTAATGGCATTTTATAGATATTTATTTGAGCCTTTATTTTTATTTTTTAATTAAGGGAATAGTGGGGTAGATGTCAGTTCATCGTGACATTCAGCTTATATCTGCTTGGCTTTTTCATAGTCAGTGACACCCTGATTCCTAGCATGATAAATAGTAACCCTTTGTGCTTGACTTTGCTTAACTTATTTGAATTGTTTTCAAGAATATATATTTTTTTTATTTTTTGGATCAGCTAAGCTTGTGTATGTTTAAGTTTTTGTTTTGTTTTGTGTTTGATTTTATTTTCTTAGAAAAGAACTATAAAATGGCTATTAAATTTTTAGCTAGTGACAATGAGGTTTTCTTAGTATTACTTTGAAATCAACACTTCTTAATTCTTAGAGTATGTGGTTTTGTTGTTCTGTAGTGTCCTACTAAAATATTCATTTTTTTTACAGTGTATTGCAAGTTCCACTGCATTACATGCAAATATAATTCACTCATACCTAGCTGTTTGTGGATTCAGACTCATAAATGAACCATTTTTCAGTTAAGTTAATAATGTACTGACATCTTTCTGTGTTTTCTGATATTTACAGATTCGAGTGGTGAATGCATTTCGTAGTTCTTTATATGAAGGGTTAGAAAAACCGGAATCAAGAAGTTCGATTCACAACTTTATGTCACATCCTGAGTTTAGGATAGAAGATTCAGAACCTCATATCCCCCTTATTGATGACACTGATGCTGAAGATGATGCTCCTACAAAACGTAACCCCAGTCCTCCACCCTCTCCCAACAAAAATAACAATGCTGTTGACAGCGGAATTCACCTTACAATAGAAATGAACAAGTCTGCTACCTCTTCATCCCCAGGAAGCCCACTACATAGTTTGGAAACATCACTCTGATTGTAAGCTGAATGTTAACACACTAGCTGCATTGTAAAGAAACAAATTGAAACTGGGTCTTTTCACATATTGTGACGGACAAGATAGTATTCTTGTCTTTGGACTTCAACAGAAGACATTCTTGTACGAATGTAGATTTATTTTTTTAAAAAAAAGCAAAGCTTTCTGCCAGACTGAGGGGTGCTTTTTGGGGGGTGGGAGAAATGAACTGACAGATAAGCAGTAACTCAGCATAAGTGACCTGTGGATCATCAGTACCTGAGAATGGTCCTGAACAGTACATCAGCAGAGCTTTAGTTTATCTCAGTCTTTGGTGGGAGTGAGGGAAGAGTAGAGCTGGGCAAGCAAAAGAGCCCTGGATCATTGAATTGATACTTTAATTTCTGCTGTTGGCTGTTAATAATTTGGATTATTTATGTTTATAAATGATACAGATCTGTTTACAAGGTTTGTAGATACTTTTTTTGTTCCTGTTCATAGATGGGACGCTTCCTTATAACTGATAGAGAAAAATAGTCCTTCAAATACTGCTGTATTTTCAGAAGAAAAAGGGGGGGCGGGCATTTCTATTGAAACTGTACTAAATTTTTGCCTACAATTTACCTTGTTAAATACTGTAGATAAATTGCTAATACTAATAGCCAAATAGATAACACTAATGCTTTGTTTAAAAAAAAAGAAAACAAAAAAACATGAGCAGTGGTGTTCTGATGAAGTTATGGCATCTGTCCTAATTAGTTTCTTAAATACATTTACTACTTAATGGTTTTGAAACAACTGTTTAATTTTTAAAAATTTTGAAAAACTTACTAATAACCTTTTGTTCAGAATTTAGTAGATTGTTTAATGCGGGACATCAACTACATAGTGAAAGATGCTTGAAATGCTTTTGTTATTTCAGGCAAATCAAATTAAACTATCAAACTACAAGAGAACCTTAGTCCTTTTTGTTTTTGTCTAAATATGTTAGTTCAGTGATGTCTTGGTGAACTGTGAGTGAACTGTGTTGATTTTTTCCAGTCAATCCTTAGAAACCTTCATACAGCATGAGGGCTGTTGGCATTTTGAAAAAGGTTAATAAGTAGAAGCACATATTTTTTCCTTTTGTTTTTGAAACTTGTTTGTAAACATAAATAAATATGCCCTTTTATTAAATAAAAACACGGCAATGTTTTTTTAAAAGAGATTTCAGCTTCTTTACTCAGTTCTGCATATATGGTGCATCAGTCTTTTCTTTTCAGCCACAATTGGAATAACTTTCAAGATGGTAACAGCCCTATGAAGTACCACTTTAATTACTTGGTGGTAATCTAATAGAATCAGATTAAGGAAATTACTGCAGTTTCACCATTTGAGATGCTCTTCATAGATTTAGTTTTGTCTAAAATAGTCTCACAGTTTTTTTAAAAAAATGGTGACCACCATTGTTTTGATACATTTATTTTAATTAAGTGGCCAAATAACAGATTAGGTAAAATGAGATTATATGAAAAGGTAAAAAAAAGTCCTAAAAAGACATTTAGATTTAAAAATTAACCATATACTAGAATGCCCATCTCTAAACCAGTTGTATTCATTAGCTCTCTGTTTCTTTCCTTTATCTATCTACCTTCTTTTTGCCTCCATCTTTCCCCTTTAGGAACTGACATCGGTAAGGGCCCAGATTTCACCAGATATATTATCCTCAGGCTGACATAAAGTTTACGAGGACTACTACAACATCTGAAAGTGCTGACCCAGTAAAGAAGCATTTAGTTGATGGTGCTTGATATTTTTGATGGGTGGGGAAAAATCTTTTTCTCTCTAACAGTCCTTTGCAGTAATCCTCTGCAAGTCTTAGAAACACATTGGCTCTGTCAGCATTTGTAACTGTACATTTATTCATCAGGTAATTATAGCACATCATACTGTAAAAAGAGGTAGCATGATATGCTGAAAAGCATACTAGACTAGGAGTCAAGACCTGCTTTTTTGTCCTGGTTTTGCCATTAACTTGCTGCATGACCTTGGGAAAATCATTTAACCTAAATGAGGGTGGTGGACTAGACTATCGTGAATCCTTTCAACTCTGAACATTGACCCTCTATCAACTGGAGAGCCTACAAGGCATAGGGAATGGAGAAAAGGGAAATGTGTTAGTTTTACTTTTTATTTTGGTTATGCTTAAATATGAATGTAATTACCAAAAGATTTAGAAGTGCATGTGCTTTGAGGGATTTGTATTGAGCTTTTACAGTATTCATTTTTCAACTCAAGGCAATGGCTTTTTACACCAACTCTAATCCATAAACGGGTCTTACAACATCCATGAAGTAGTAGCAAGACATGCTTAGTGTGTGTTTCTCTCTTTGAGACACTGTAATTTCTACCAGAAATTTCCAGAGCATTATGTAAGTAGAAAAAAATGCAAGCAAGCTGTTAAAGATCTTGGATCCCTTTATATAGTATGTATAGCTGAAATCAGCATCTGTAACTCAATCACTTTTCCTCTTTTATCCTCTAACCAAAAATTTGTTTAATTTTGCATCCCAAATGTTTTTAATCTTTGTATATTTTTTAAAAATCCTTTTCTCCTCATCGTTGCCTTTTTGTGGTTGTAAATAGACTTACTTGCACTTTGAAGATGAGTTACTCCTTGTCATCTTACAAATATGTGATATGGTAATTTTCATAACAGATGTCAGTTTTGAACTAAGAATTGGTGATTTGTTTATAAAAAAAACTGGCCTCATTTCTGTGAAATTGCTCTTTGAAAATTTCTTTTTACACGTGTAAGCCAACTGAGATACCATGATGGTGTTGATTTCTTTAAATGATGCTTACCATCTATTTTAGCCACTGAGCCTTTTATTATTTGTCTATTTGTAAAGTTTATTTGTCTTAACTCATTTAATAAATATACTGTTTATCTGTTTCTGAATGGGGACTGAACTTTTTGAATATTGACATTAATTTGAACATTATATCTTGAAATTACCCTTTTTACTTGAGATTTTTTAAATCTGATGAAAATTCTATAATGTACTTGAAATGTTATGGTTGTGTTACAGTGAATCTGTTTTAATTTGCATGGTCTTGCCTCTAAAATGAAAGTGAATACATTGTCCCTACTGTCTTACCCACCATCTTAAACCCTTGAAACAAAATAGATATTTATGAATTAAGTTCCCTTTCTAAAAGTTGTAAAAGTTAGCTGAATAAGAAAAGGGAGTTTTTAAAGCCTTTGCTGGTTGATATTTTCCTTCATCACATCTTTAGAGAATTCTGGTCATAATTCAAGCTACCTTCTTTCATGTAGCCTAAGCCACTCTCAGATTCCTATGCCCAAACCCCATATCAACCTTTATCTTTTTAAATTACTTTTAAACTCCTTTATAGATTAAAAAAAAAAAGATATTTTTGTTAGCATAATTATTCCACCTTACTAAAAATAATTTTTGAAAGATTTGTTACCTTGCTTTTAGAATAAGCCTTATAAAAATACCAGTGTTTCATGCGGTAAAGGAGTTCCTGATGGTGTTTTCTGTGCTTCTTTCATCCATAGGTGTCAAAAAGAAAGTTATCTTTATACTTAAAAAGTAATTCCCTTTTCAAAAGATTATTTTGCCTATTAAATTTTTAGTTGAGGGTTTACTTTCATGCTTTTTGTCATAAGAACTGTTTAACATTTTCTGTATTTGTTAGAAAAACACTTCAGCTCACAAATGAATATATTAAATGTAAAAATACCAGGTGCCATCAAGTAGATTCTGACTCATGGTGTGGGTCAGAGTAGAACTGTGCTCATAGGGTTTTCAATGGCTGCTTTTTCAGAAATAGATTGCCTGGCCTTTCTTCCAAGGCACCTCTGGGTGGATTCAAATTACCAAACTATCAGTTACCAACCATTTGCCCACCCAGAGACTCCATACTAAATGTGTAGGAATGTCTAATCTATATTCTCTGAGTTCAGGGTGTGATTACTGAATAATATTAATGGCTCTGAAGTGGGGAATTAAAAAATAAAAACAGTGTATATGTGCTTATACAATATCAGTATGTGGCACAACTTCCTTAACCAGCATTATATCCTAGAAAAACTAGTTTCCAAATCAGTAACACAGAAGTCTGGGTTTGAGTTCAGTGCAGGAAGTCCCTAAGAGTCTCTTCATTTAAATCAGGATTACAAGGGTCACATTTTTTCCAAATGTTTTTCAGATCATTAGGTATAAGTGCTGGTACTTTCCTTAGATAGTTAAAAGGAATACTGTAACACATAAATTACTATTTATGGAGTACATATTACATGCTAAGCATTTTACAAAGACTATGTAAAAATAACTTTGTCAACTCCTATTACCTTTTTTTTATAGGTGGGAAAACTGAGGTTTAGAAAGTTTAACTTGCTCTAGGCCACATGGTTAGGTGGTAGAGTTGGGATTCAAATGTAAAGCAGATTATCTCTAGATCATAAGCCTTATAAAAATACCAGACTGTTTCATGCGGTAAGGGAGTTCCTGATGGTGGTTCCTAATGTTCTTTATAGTTTGTGAATAGTTGACCCCTTCAAAAAACAAAAAATTGCCGTCGAGTCATAGCGACCATGGAGGACAGAATCGAACTATCCCATAGAGTTTCCAAGGAGCAGGTGGTGGGTTCGCACTGCTGACCTTTTAGTTAGCAACTGAACACTTAACCACTGCACCACCAGGGCTCCTGACCCCCTTTATCATCTGAAAAAATGAGATGCTTGCTGATTTTTACAAGCTTTAAGGTGGTATTGACCTTAAACCAAAACCAAACCCATTACTGTTGAGTTGATTCCGAAAAGTATTTTAAAATATAAGAATTGGACTTCATGGAGGTCTGAGGTTAGAAATTCAAATTAGTATGCTTTTAATTTACCTAGTATTCTAAAACTTTTAGCCACAAGCCTGCCCTTTCAGTTAGTATCTAAAAGCATTCATCTCTCTTTTTCACTGCTATAGACTTAGGATGGGTAAGTGGTTAAGTCTCAACATCTGAAGTTGTGGTGAGGGAGTATGTGAATTACAATAGTAAAGCCACAGCAAGTTTTTGGAGTCTGTGACTCTTTGAACTTCTGGTTACACTACCCTGGAGTCCATCGCCTTTTCCCTTCCTCATTAATTATCTAAGTGCCACCCACATTCTTGTCCTTTATATTTCCTACCCTTCATGTATTCATTCAACAAATATTTGGTACCTGTCATGTGGAATTCACACTGTTTCTACACTCTGGGGAAAACCAAACAAGGTCTTTCAGGAAGTTTATGTTCTAGTGGGTGGGAGAGACAGACCTGTCAGGTGGTAGGGGATGATGTTATGTTACATAGTGTGGTCAGGGAAGCCCTGTCAGATACGATGACATTCCAGCAGAGACATGAAAGAAGTGAAGGAGTCAACTGCTTGGCTGTGTAGAAGAGCCTTCCAGGCAGAAGTTCCAGTAGGTTGTGCTTGGCAAGTTAGGAATAGCAGGGAGGCCACAGTCTCCTATTATTTATTACCTCTAGGCTTATCTGGAGTGAAGTGAACCAGTGGGAGACAGGTAGAAGATAAGCCTAGAGGTAGTAATAGAAGACTTTGTTTGACCTTACAGTCTTGGCAAGAACTTTGGCTCTTATGCTGAGTAAGACATGAAGTAATGGAAAATCTTGAAAAGAGGAGCAATGTGTCTGACCTTTGAAAAGATCATTGATTGCTCTGTTGAGATGGCTAGCTTGGAAGCTAGAAAACCAGTTAAGAAGCTATTGCCTTTTTTATATTCATTCCATTTCAGACTAACTTTTTCTGCTTCTTTGTAGACCTCTTCTAAAAAGTCCTATGGACCCATTATTTTCTCTGTCTCCTTTAATTTTATATTTGTCCTTATTCAGACGATACAAATCGGGTGACTTAACTCCATCCTTTGACATCTTATTGCCATCTCTCAAGACCCTATGTATTTTCCTCATTGACTTTATATGTAGTTTCCAAGATGGATCACAATAGCCTTTGTTTTTACTCTGGGTCATTCTGCAACATAACCATTTTTCACCTGTTCAGTCCCCAAGATTATAGTGTCTTCTCCAACACTTCCTTTTTCTTGCTTTGTAAAAGCTCGTCACACCTGCTAAACATTCTTTATTCTAAGCATGACTGCCATTCTTAATTCTTCCATCTCCTCCCAGTCTTTTGTAGACTACTAATCAAGCCATTCAAGTTGGCTACCTCACTCCCACTCTGTAATTGACCTAGATGAGTTTGCCTTCTTAACTTTTCACCACCTTGGTGCCTAAGCCTGAACCACCTTCAACTTCATACCTGTTCTCAGCTTTTGAGTATGCTCACTATCTTGCTAGTGACCAAAATTCACATTCCCTGGTTTTCCTCACTGATACTCAGACCTCTAATTTGTGTTTCATTCTTTCCAGGATAATTCTTCAATCATTTTAGCAAACATCTGTCTCTCCATGTCCTTTTGTTACTAATTTGTGGTCCCCAAGAGCAGAATTTTACATCTTTATTAAACTGTTGTTTGTTTTTGTCAGAGGTCCCTGGGTGGTGCAAGCGGTTTACCTCTGCTGAGAGGATGATGGTCGAACCCACCCAGTGGAAGAAAGGCCTAGTGATCTGCCTCCGTAAAGATAACAACCAGGAAAACCCTATGGACCTCAGTTCTGCTCTGTAACACATGCAGTTGCCATGAGTCAGAATTCACTCCGTGGCAACAAGTTTGGTTTTGGTTTTGTCAGTTCATATCTCTTTGACTCCTCATTTGTCATCTAGTTTACTCTCTACCTTTCTCAGTTAAGTGATGCCCAAGACAGTGGTAAGTTTTGCTTCTACTTTATGAAACAACTCTTCCACGAAAAAACCAAAAGACTTGAGGAAAACAGATCTGCAAACAGCCCTTTGCCTAACTTTTTAAAACCACTACCAGGCTGATATTAATGCTTATTAGTCCAGTCAGTCAACCAATCAACCCATAAAAACTCGTTGCCATCGAGTCGATTCCGACTCACAGTGACTGTATAGGACAGAGTAGAACTTACCCCTAGGGTTTCCAAGGAGTGGCTGGTGGATTCAAACTGCTGACCTTTTGGTTAGCGGTCAAACATTTAATCACTGGCACCACTAGGGCTCCTCAACCCATTACGGACCACCTAATTAAATATTCTGCCGTTCTACACACACATAGCCATCAAATCAAAAGTAGATTATGCTTTGTTGAAATGCTGTCAGCTGCATTCCGTGCTTTGCTACAAATACTTCTTCCTTGATTTTAAGTACTCTTTGTCTATTTCCACTGTTACTACCCTGACTATTCCCTCTTTACCTCAGGCCCATACACTTAGATTCCTTCACTGTTCTGTTCATATCCTCAGCCTCTCCCATCACCAATCCATCCAACACGGAGTCCAAAACCTTCCTAGATCACTTTTTGCCTACATCATCACTCCCCTCTTTAAAAAATAAATACCAAAAAAAGCTTTAAGTGGCTCTTTGTTTGTTCTTTAGCAACTCTTCAGTGTGATTGTTATGCCGTAGTCATTCAAATATTTTTACAATGACTTGATGTTCTTAAATTCTCCAAACTTGAAATACTATGATTGTGATTTCAATAGTCAACTTTTCCAGTCCTGTGTGTCTTGTTCTAATCTTGGTATCATATTTGCCATATTTCACCTATTAACACCTCTAGTGATTAGAATTTTTAAAGAAAACTTGAGATGCTTCAGGCAAAACTAAGAAACTAATTTTGTTTTGACTAGAGAACCTGGGAGTACAGCAGTCTTACCTTTGCAGAACGTATATGCTCTTTAGCCAAAAAACTACCAATTAATGTTGTTTGCTATTTCTTTGACTGCTTGCAAGAGTGCAGCTTGGCAGCACACACTCTTACCTGCAGTCTCAGGTAAGTTTGATAACTATCTTGAACAG